CTGGACTGAGCTGTGCGAAGCCTCTCCTGAATCAACTTTACCTTTTCCAAGGCATCTTTCACCAAGTTTGTTAGCCAAGGACTGAATGTCCAAGGCTAGTGGCCTCTCCTCTGCTGAAATGAATGTCAAACTACCCATACTCTCTGCTTTCCTGCTTAAGGCATCCGCGACCACATTTGCCTTGCCCAGATGATAAAGAATGGCGATGTCATAATCCTTCAGTAACTCAAATCATCTACGCTGCCTCAAATTGAGATCCCTCTGCTTGAACAAATGTTGTAAGCTGCGATGATCAGTGTAAACCTCACATGACACCCCATACAGATAATGCCTCCATATCTTAAGAGCATGAACATTCGCCGCCAACTCTAGATCAGGAACACGGTCGCACTCAGAATTATGCGGTCCGTAGAAGTCCCACAATGCCAAAGCTAAAGCTCAAGAAGTGCGGACCGCCTATAATTATACAACCTAGAAGCAAGAGTGCAGCCACGCTCATAAATATGCAGTCCGCAGAAGCTGAAGGAGTGCGACCGCAACCCAGAATTGTGCGGCCGCAGAACTGAAACCTGTCAAGCCAAGTCTCAATGTGCGGACCGTACACATTATTGTGCGGCCGCACAACCTCCGCAGGGGCAATTTTGTCAGATATTTTTAGCTTAGTATAAATAGAACTTTTTGTCATTTTTAGGTCAAGTTTTGCTTTGGGGGGCACCTGAGCCGTTTTTATTTACTGTATTGGGTAACATTATACTAGTTTGGCATTTTAAAATTAGATTTTCTTTCCCTTAATCATCTATTATGGATTTTATCTTAGTTTCTTCTTTAATTTCTGCATTTTCCATGAGTAGCTAAATCTCTAGCTAAGATTGTGATACAACCCTAGTGTGAGTACTTAATGAGTGTTTTATTTAGGGCTTGTTTGTGATTGGGCTAGTGATATCTAGCCTAGTTTTTGCTTGAATTCAAAAATTAATGGTTGCAAATATTGATTCATGCCTAATTGACTTAGTCTCTACTTGAGAAAGAGAGACTAAGCCTAGGAGAACTTCGCTAATAAGAAATTGGGGTGAATTTAAGAAATTGATAGCCCCAATTAGAGGGTTAAATCTAGAGATAGTGAGACCCAACTTGAGCAGTTATCATTTGTTTTGTACAATACTCATTTGGACTTGAGAAATCCAAATTGGGCAAAATCACTCCAACTACTGAGAGGTATTGAGTGGGTAATTGCGTGTGATTGCTATATTACAACCCTGGCCAATCAAACTTGCCCTAAAGTTTACAACCCGTTAGGTAATCACCTAGGTGGAAGTCACGACCCTAGATCTTTTATAACTTGAAAAACAACAACACCAAAAACATTGTCTCTTAGCTTTACAATTACAATCAATAGCTTAAAAGTAGAAGTAGAAACAACAATTGAAAATGTGGAAGTGTAATTTGAGGCACATCATACATTCATACTAGGTGTATACCTAACCCAAATTCTAACTCCCTATAGATTTGACCCTGACTTGCATTGCATTTTTATTATTGCTTCGATTGCCTCATAACCTATATTTGTGGTGTGAGTTTGGGAAACATCAACGACCGATCAGATCATTACATCTTCTACCCTGCTCCATCAGCTACATCTCCTGCATCTCCTCATCCCTCTAATCCTGCTTGTCCTGATTCCAAAATATCTGTGAACAACTCTCCTGCTTCTCCTAATCTCCCTTCTTCTTTCTCTGAATCTGAATTCCCCCCTTTAAGGAGATCATCTAGACCTCACAATCCTCCTTTTTATCTGCAAATTTATGTCTACACCCTACCTACTCATAGATCTAGGTCTACAAATTCAACTGTTATGTCTACTTCTAGTGAGCATCATGCATTTGAGCCTACTATTTATTCACAGGCAGTAGCTATCCCTGAGTGGAAGAATGCTATGAGAAAAGAGTTTGAGGCATTGGAGACTAATGGTACTTGGGACATAGTTGAGTTACCCAAGGGCAAGAAGTCAATTGGCTGCAAATAGGTATATAAAATTGAGTACAAAGCTGTGGGAGCATAAAAAGGTATAAAGCTAGGCTTGTGGTAAGGGGTGATACATAGGTTGAAGGCATAGACTTTTATGAAACCTTTTCACTATAGTAAAAATGTCTATTGTTAAAACCTTAATTGCTGTAGCTGTTAAAACAAATTGGTCACTATTCCAACTAGATGTTAATAATGTTTTCTTGCATGGGGACTTAGATGAAGAAGTTTTTATGAAGCTTCCACCTGGTCTTTCAGTTTCTATTGTACCATCAATTTCTGCTTCCACTTTTTTGGTCTGTAAACTCAAAAAATCTTTGTATAGCTTGAGACAAGCTTCAAGGCAATGATATGCCAAGTTGTCTCAATCCTTGTCTTCTAGAGGCTATGAGCACTCCTCTAATGACTATTCACTTTTTACTAAGGGTTCTGGTGATGCTTTGGTAATGTTAGTGGTGTATGTTGATGACAACATCATCATTGGGACAGATCTGTGTGAGATTGCTGCTGTGAAAGCCTTCATCCATGGTCAATTTAAAATTAAGGATTTAGGCAACCTTAGCTACTTTTTGGGTATTGAAGTGTTGTATTCTGAGGGTGGGGTGTTTCTGCATCAAAAAAAGTTTGTGCATGATCTACTCAAAGAGTTTCACTCCTATGATTGTTTTTCAGTGGTATCCCCTCTTGAGATGCATGACAAGTTGCAGGATGATCATGGTGATCCCTTGCCCAATCTAGAGAATTATAGGTGCTTAGTGGATAAGCTCAATTTCTTAACCCACACCAGACCTGACATTTATTTTGTAGTGCAACACCTAAGTCAATTTATACAGTAGCCTTGCCTTCCTCACATGCAGGCTGCTTTACGTTTGCTCAGGTATCTCAAGGGTACATTTGATTTTGGGATCTTCTACAATAACTCTCCTGATCTTTCTCTCATTGTTTATTGTGATAGTGATTGGGGTTCTTGCCCGGATAACAGAAAGTCAATCAGTGGTTTTTGCATTTTATTAGGGGTTGTCTAGTAGGCTGGAAGTCAAAGAAGCAATCTGGGGTGTCCTTGTCATCTGCTGAAGCTGAATACATGTTTATGAGTAATGCCACTACTGAAATTACTTGGGTTTGCATGCTTCTCTCTGATTTTAGTGTTATTTCTTCTTCTTCTTATGTTAGTCTGTTTTGTGATAATCAGGCAACCATCCACATTGCTAAGAATTCCGTCTTCCATGAGCGCACCAAGCACATTGAATTGGTGTTCGCACCAAGTTGAATGAAGGTCTGCTTTAGCTGCTTCACACTTCCAGTGCCACTCAGCTCGCTGATATGTTTACTAAGCCTTTGGGGGGAGCTATCCATCATCTACATCTTCGCAAGTTGGGGGTTATCTCACCCTCCAACTTGCAGGGGGGAGGGGGTGTTGAGATACAAGCAAATGCTGTTACTTAGCAAATGTTGTTACTTAGACACTTAGGCTTCTTCTCTTCTTTTCTCTTCTTTCTTTACTATTGGGCCCCGAAGCCCATCGTGTATTTATTTAGTTACACCATAGTCAGTTGGGATTATTATAAGTAGTGGGCCGACCCATTCTGTCAGGTAAGAAAGACTGGTAATTGTATAGACAGATATTTTTGCTTCTCAATTCATTCTAATGGAAAACCTAGAAGCTTCTTTTTCTCTCCATAGCTTCACAACAATCTTTGACAAAACCTCAACGATTTGTTCGTGAATCAAGTTTTAACAAATACGCCATATGTATTTTTCTTTCTACCCAAATAACTCTGATCCATTAGATTTAATAGTGGGGATTAAAGAGGAGTGTGATCCATAGAACATTTTTTTGAAATTTAAGAAGTCTCTTCTCTATTTTAGCATATGCTTTAATTTATTACCCTTTTGTGCTACTGAAGTCTTAAGCTCCCTAACTCTGCTAGGTAGTTAATTTTATGTCATCTTAAGCTCTTTAACTCAGCTGGGTAGTTGATTTTATGTCATTTTCACTGTAATATGGTATCATAAAGAGTTACCTATAAATTCTAATTTGAAAGGGTCTGAGAAATTTGACCCACGTTTGTGTTTGCGCAGAAAAAGATGCATGGAGTTAGCATAAATGACGTTGTCATGTTCTTTATGTGCATGATGGGGCTGATATGTCTGTCGGGCATAACCATGGTGGGAATTTAGAATTTTGAAGAGATGAAGAAGACGATGAGGGTGGGTGTGGGCCCCAATTGCCATTTGTTTGGTTGTAGAAGTTATGGGTAAAAATTAGGGTTGGTTTTAATTCGAGCCGGGTATTAAAATCGGGGGTGGGTGTAGTTGTTCTAACGATGCCATATGTCCCTCTATCTAAATTAGGGGAAAATCAGTATCAAATTATAACGGTAAGGATATAATTGAATGAATACTCAAATGGAGGATATTATTAAACTATTTCTAATAGTACAGGGATATATTTGGCCAAGCTGCAAAAATCAGCTTATTTTGAGAAGTTCTTTTTCTCAAAAGTGCTTTTGGTGAGAAGTAATTTGTGTTTGAATAATTAATTTAAAAAGTATTTCTGAGCAGCAATTAGTGTTTGACCAAGTTTTTCAAAATTACTTCTAAATATATTTTTATCACTCGGAGAAAAGCTACCTTTTTCTGCTTCTCCTCAAAAGTACTTATTTGAAAATGTATTCTTCCTTTAGTTATTCCAACTTCCTAAAGTCACTAAACTCTAATAGCATGACAGGGAGCGTAACAAGTAACAAGGCCATGCCAAAATCCAAATTGTCTAGTAGGAGTAAAAACAAAAAGAAATGGGTCACCATTCATCGTAACCATATCTCTTTTGATATTTGTGCCACAAATATACGAGTGATACTCATTAATCTCATCCCATACACTTATAATCTGTACAGTATCATCCACGTGGCACCATCCCATTAACTGCTTATCTCCAATTCTTTAATTTCCCCCACTGCCCCTGTTTCCATGCACCAAAACAATTAGAGGCTGAAACTTTAGTCTCTTGCATATTTTCTTCTTCCTCAGTGACAGTGTAAAAGCTTAATTCACAATAATGGAGACTAGTGTCACGTGCTGCGCACGTGCAGATCTCCTCCCAAATGTTTCTTCTCAACAATATTCAACTACTGCACTAGCAGCTCCTAGGTCCATTTCCCCATCATTCAGCATCAGGGTACATATTATATATATTTGGTTGTATTTTTTGAGTAAGTATATAGTATTAAAATTTAATAACAATGGCAGTATGATTTTGTTGCAGAGTCTGAAATCAAGCTCTTTATTTGGGGAATCATTGCACGTTGCCCCTAAATCATCACTCAATGTTTCTAAGACTAAAAGCTATTCCCTAGTGAGTAAATGTGAGATTGGTGATAGCCTGGTAAGTTTGTT